TTCATATGGGACTAACATGTCACTAATATATTTTGGTGCGAGGCCATGGAGAGACTTGTAACAAGCAGAGCTGTTTTAAAGTCTATTCTCTGAGCCACAGGAAGCCAGTGCAGAGACCTGAGGACCGGACTAATGTGGTCGCACTTCCTGGTTCTAGTCAGGACTAATATGGTCGTACTTCCTGGTTCTAGTCAGGACTAATGTGGTCGTACTTCCTGGTTCTAGTCAGGACTAATGTGGTCGTACTTCCTGGTTCTAGTCAGGACTAATATGGTCGTACTTCCTGGTTCTAGTCAGGACTAATGTGGTCGTACTTCCTGGTTCTAGTCAGGACTAATGTGGTCGTACTTCCTGGTTCTAGTCAGGACTAATATGGTCGTACTTCCTGGTTCTAGTCAGGACTGGAGCTGCTGCATTTTGAATGTACTGCAGCTGTTTTACAGCCTGTTTGGACAGACCTGTGAGCAGGCCATTGCAGTAGTCTAACCTACTGGAGACAAATGCATGGATAAGAATCTCCAGGTCTGCTTTAGACACTATGTTTTTGATCCTGGAAATGTTTTTTAGATGGTAAAAAGCTGCTGATGTTACTGATTTGATGTGGCTATTAAAATTTAAGTCTGAGTCCAGTATTACCCCTAGATTTCTGACCTTGTTTGAAGGTTTTAGGGAGAGAGACTGTAGGTGACAGATGACGCTCTCTCTTTGTTTCTGGGGACCAAAGAGAATCATTTCAGTTTTGTCCTGCTTTAGACCTGCTTTAGACCTGCTTTAGACCTGCTTTAGTCCTGCTTTAGACCTGCTTTAGACCTGCTTTAGACCTGCTTTAGACCTGCTTTAGTCCTGCTTTAGACCTGATTTAGTCCTGCTTTAGACCTTATTTAGTCCTGCTTTAGTCCTGCTTTAGACCTGCTTTAGACCTGCTTTAGTCCTGCTTTAGACCTGATTTAGTCCTGCTTTAGTCCTGCTTTAGACCTGCTCTAGTCCTGCTTTAGACCTGATTTAGACCTGCTTTAGTCCTGCTTTAGACCTGCTTTAGTCCTGCTTTAGACCTACTTTATGTAGTAGTAGGCCCTGCGTGCCCGGTGGCAGCCTATTGCGTGCAGTCTCCTCCCTTTAAAAGGAGGATGGATCACCTGCACCATCTCTTTGCCCGCCTCTGACGTCACCGCTGTCCCAGGAGCAGTGAGCTGCACAGCGTGGAGTCTGTCTCCACAGCTTGGACAAACACAGTTGCCGGCCCTAAAGTTGGCATTCGCGCTTCATATTGAGCTCACAACTAGTAAGTACAGTGCCATTCCCCTTCGATTGTCTCCTTATCCATCCTGCTTTATATAAAATACTTTACGCTCCCCGCAGCGCTCTGTGCGTGGCGTCTTGCGGCCCAGTTGCGGTGCAGGGTCAACTGAGGACACCTCCCGCATGTTTGATGTGCGTGCAGTCACATACCATTACGGTAAGCTGGTGTGTGCCGCGTATCCGCCCATTAACATTACTTTCCAAACTTGGTGCTAACTAAGCGCTCTTTATAAGGTGGGGCACCCGGTTCTACGCGCCTCCTGCGCTGGGTCTCTGGTGAGCGCTTCACGCAGAGGATTCATGGTGCGTATTTTCCCGGCTCCTGAGCTGCTACGTGGGGTTTTACCTGTAAATTCTAAATTGTCACTTCTTTTAGGTCCAGTCTTCTCGAGCCTCTCCTTTCCTCTCCTCCTGAGTTGCCTTGGCTCATGTTTTCCTGGGGTCCATACAGTGTGGTCCATTTAGTGGCCATCAGTTAAAGGAGGTGCCTGTAACTTTTGAAATAGCTGCTGTGAGTTTGCACAAAAGCACATGTAAGCAACTATGCACTTTAAAACAAGTTAATCTGGGGTCATTGTGTTTGTTTTGTGTACTGTGCACTGCATTTTAAAAACTATTTTAATTATGAACTTAAGTGAATGTTAATATCAAATAAATATTGTAAACCTTTTTCTAATTTTGTCTGTCCCTCAGTTACTTACCTGTGTTAGCCGTAATCCTTTATTTTTTATTTTCCCTTCGGGGTCGCGTTGTTGGCAACAAACCAGTATTTAAAATTATCCACCAGTATATCACAGCCCTCGCACCACATTTAGTCCTGCTTTAGTCCTGCTTTAGTCCTGCTTTAGACCTGCTTTAGTCCTGCTTTAGTCCTGCTTTAGTCCTGCTTTAGTCCTGCTTTAGTCCTGCTTAGACCTGCTTAGTCCTGCTTTAGTCCTGCTTTAGACCTGCTTTAGTCCTGCTTTAGTCCTGCTTTAGACCTGCTTTAGTCCTGCTTTAGTCCTGCTTTAGACCTGCTTTAGACCTGCTTTAGTCCTGCTTTAGACCTGCTTTAGACCTGCTTTAGACCTGCTTTAGTCCTGCTTTAGACCTGCTTTAGACCTGCTTTAGACCTGCCTTAGACCTGCTTTAGACCTGCTTTAGTCCTGCTTTAGACCTGCTTTAGACCTGCTTTAGTCCTGCTTTAGACCTGCTTTAGTCCTGCTTTAGACCTGCTTTAGACCTGCCTTAGACCTGCTTTAGACCTGCTTTAGTCCTGCTTTAGACCTGCTTTAGACCTGCTTTAGACCTGCCTTAGACCTGCCTTAGACCTGCTTTAGTCCTGCTTTAGACCTGCTTTAGTCCTGCTTTAGTCCTGCTTTAGACCTGCTTTAGTCCTGCTTTAGACCTGCATTAGACCTGCTTTAGACCTGCTTTAGTCCTGCTTTAGACCTGCTTTAGACCTGCTTTAGTCCTGCTTTAGACCTGCTTTAGACCTGCTTTAGTCCTGCTTTAGTCCTGCTTTAGACCTGCATTAGTCCTGCTTTAGACCTGCATTAGTGCTGCTTTAGACCTGCTTTAGTCCTGCTTTAGACCTGCTTTAGTCCTGCTTTAGACCTGCTTTAGTGCTGCTTTAGACCTGCTTTAGTCCTGCTTTAGTCCTGCTTTAGAGCTGCTTTAGACCTGCTTTAGTCCTGCTTTAGACCTGCTTTAGTCCTGCTTTAGACCTGCTTTAGACCTGCTTTAGTCCTGCTTTAGACCTGCTTTAGGTCTGCTTTAGACCTGCTTTAGACCTGCCTCCCCCCTCAGTGACTTTCTCCCCCCTCCTCCCTTTTCTTTTGGTGTGTTATTGTTGTAAATGATGTAAACCTTTTCATTGTGTTTGAAATAAACTAAAAACATGATAAAAACGAAGCCGAGACGTGGACGACACTTTTTATTGACAGTTACAGTATATTTCCATCATGGCGTCCTAGCTTACGCAGGCTAACGTAGTGTGCACGGGGCTAGCTTATAGCATCTCAGACAAACAAACACAGATTACTGCGTCTATAAAACATTCAACAGTGGTTTGATCCTGGAGCCAAAGAGACACCGGGCCCTTCTCACCGCACTGAGCTCACACATGTCAGCTTTACATCTTTAAACTTAGACATGAGGGAGAGTTTGTGTGCGTTGGAAAATATGGGTCAAAAAAGTCAAACTTGTTATCATTCAATATTTATGATGTTTCTTTTATAAATCATTGGTGTTTGGATCAGAAATGTCAGTTTAAAAGTATAAAGGAGGATTTTCCCACATTTGAGGAAAGACCCGCCCCCTCCACTTTGTGAACTAAACTCTCTGGTCTGATTGGACGAGCACGTGTCACTAGAATGATTGACAGTTGGGAGGACCAATAGTCTTGATGATGGAAACAGAGCAAACCAATTGAGTTCCTTGAACATAAAAATGTGGTGTTTGGAGCAGAAAACATCAAAGTACTTTTGTACTTTAAACATTGAAACCATTAAATGCAGGTTTTATACATTACTGTCGTATAAAAACATGGCTCTGTTTGGAAAATCTGTAATGTTTCTTTTTCTAACCACTACGATTATGATGCAACTGGTTCTTAAAAAACTAAAGTGATAAATGTGTTCAAATATATAGAATTTAAAAGTGAAAGGCTGTGTTTTTGTGCAGAGTCACTTTTATTGCTCGCTTTGAGGCAAAAGTGAGAAAAGTGATTAAAAAAACTGAATAAAAGCCATTTTCACAAAAGCACAATTTAAAAAACAGCTGAGTGTGAAACCCGCAGAGTGGTGTGAAAAGGGCCCGACTGGAAGAACACACAATAAATAAAATATATTCATAGAATTTGGAAAACAATGAAAATAAAAAACAGCTAAAAATATAAAATGATTTGTTTGTAAAGATTGATTCTGACTTTTGCTGCATCAGATTCTAACACTTTTCTGGCATCACTAAAAAAACGACCTTCATTTAGAAACAGAAACGTCCCAGACTCAAACCAACCATTTTGAACCATTTTGCTTCTGTGTGTGTGTAAACAGGGGCCGCTCCACCAGGGGGCAGCACTAACACGTGACACTGTGGCTGAGGTTTACATCAGTATAAAACAGACAGCTGTAGTTTTACCCTGTGTCAGGACGATCCAACATCAAAAAACACTGCCTTTAACTTCAACAGACCATAATAATCATGTCTCTTCAGCCGCCAGGGACTCAAGTCTGTGCAGAGACCCAAAGTGAAAGTAAATCAATCAGAGAAAAGTCATGTTTTAGGAAATGGAGCGATAAATGCTCGGCTCTCGGTGGAAGTGGCCATTTTTCTATAATTACAGAACCTACTGGACACAGGCCGCACATGAGAAGAGGCCCACAGAACCTTATTCACGCCATTTAACAACGTTTAACCATTATAAAACTTCATATGGAAATTGGAGACTGTCTGAAAAAGGATTTCAATGTTGTGTTTGTAAAAAGAATTAAATTGGGATTAATTTGTAACGATCTATGACATCACAGCGGCGGCCATCTTCTCTGCAGACACTGGAACCAGAGACGAGTCCAGAAACACAGAGAAACACGCAGCTTCCTTCATTTGCTCGACTAAAACAAGAGGCTTCTTCACCACAGCTCCTCTGGTCGCCTTCACCAGCGCCCCCTGGAGGCCCCTCAGGGTCATTACAGAGGAGCCGTGTCCCCAGACTTAAAGGGGAAGTAAACAGCTGCATAAGATAGTCTAGAATCCACTAAAATATGGCCAACAGTTTTCCTGTTTTGTTTGGACAGACACACTTTCCACACAAACTGAAAACTCTGACTAAACTAAACACATGTGTGGATTCTGCTCAACAAATCAGAAAACCAGTGAGTAACGTTAGTGAGAGCAGTAAACATAGTGGTTGTGGATAAAGTGCAGGATGCGGGGGTCCCCTCACAGCGGCAGACCGGCTGCAGCTCCAGGACTCACCGCGCTCAGACCAGGACTAGACCCGGGTTCAGACCAGGACCAGACCCGGATCAGTGGGTTTCTATGACGACCGGTTCATAGCCCCCAGCGGACACTCTGAAAGAAACATTAACAACACAACAGGGTAAGTTCATGGAATACAGATGATTCAAGTCACGGTCTTCTTTAGACGGACACCGTGAGGCTACGTCACCGTGAGGCTACGTCACCGTGAGGCTACGTCACCGTGAGGCTACGTCACCGTGAGGCTACGTCACCGCGTGGCTACGTCACCGTGAGGCTACGTCACCGTGAGGCTACGTCACCGTGAGGCTACGTCACCGTGAGGCTACGTCACCGTGAGGCTACGTCACCGTGAGGCTACGTCACCGTGAGGCTACGTCACCGTGAGGCTACGTCACCGTGAGGCTACGTCACCGTGAGGCTACGTCACCGCGTGGCTACGTCACCGCGTGGCTACGTCACCGCGAGGCTACGTCACCGTGTGGCTACGTCACCGTGTGGGTGGGGGAGGGGCTCACAGGGGAAGGAGCACAGGTCCAAATGTTCCAATAGAAATGGCTATAAACAAGTTTTGAGTGTTTACTGTGGACCATGAAGAAGAGAGAGATTGGGACCTTTAACGACCGCCGCAACGGACCCAGACTCTTCTTTCTAAAGTAAAGTGTGTTTGGTGAATGTACCTGGTTCCCAGTCTGATGGCGCTGAGAGCCGTGGTGCCGTCTCTGCTCACGAAGAGGCGCAGGTTACTGTCTGAAAACAAACCAGACTGAGAAGGAAGTCTCAGACCCTGGACTCTGGTCTCAGACCCTGGATCTGGTCTCAGGTCTCAGACTCAGGTCTCAGTCTCAGACTCAGGTCTCAGACTCAGGTCCCAGACCCTAGACTTGGTCTCAGACCCTGGACTTGGTCTCAGACCCTGGACTTGGTCTCAGACCCTGGACTTGGTCTCAGACCCTGGACTTGGTCTCAGACCCTGGACTTGGTCTCAGTTTACCTTCAGTGTGGTTGATGTCGGCAAAGTTCTGGCTCTGGACGATCTTCTCCACGATGTCGTCTGCGTCGATGCGAGTGTCGTTGACCCAGGACGGACGACTCTCCACAGAGTCCAGCTTCCTCCTGAACAGGAAACAGTCGTTACCATGGAAACATGTCAGTGACTGATGGATCAACACGTAAAACCCCTGAAACAGGTTAGTTAGAAAACGATCAGCTGCAAACAAATCATTTATTGATTTTATGATTGACATGTTATATATTTAGCAGTGTTGGAACTAATGAAGGATAAATATCAGTTGTGTTGTCTGTGTGTATCTCTCCCTGGTGTGTTGTGTTTCTATACAAAGAGCTGGGCTCAAACAAGTCCATGTTTTCCTGCTACATTACAGCGGTCTCAGCGGGTCTCAGCGGGTCTCAGCAGGTCTCAGCCGGTCTCAGCCGGTCTCAGCGAGTCTCAGCGGGTCTCAGCCGGTCTCAGCGAGTCTCAGCGGGTCTCAGCGGGTCTCAGCGGGTCTCAGCGGGTCTCAGCGGGTCTCACCTGGCCGGTCTGTTCTGTGGCAGTGCAGGGCGTGGGGGTCTGGGGGGTTTCTCTGGGCGTGTGGAGGGGGGGGCCTCAGGGGGTGAGGAGGGGGGGTCAGAGCAGAAGCCCAGAGCAGACGCACTGCTGCCTGTGGAGGCCGTCCTGCGGTGGGTCAGGTCCGACAGGCTGGAGGAGCAGGAGTGCTCGGTGCTGTAGCCTGGACAGTCAGAGGGGGCGGGGTTAGCAACAACAGATGGTTTTATCACCAGTAACAGATTATTATTATGTCTGGAGATGGAAAGATAGAGAGAAAAGAAAGAAAGAGAACTATATTTACAACTGCTTTGTAAATAATTGCTTGCACAGTGCTCCTTGAGATGTTTAAAGCTTGGGAAATCTTTTTGTATCCAAATCCGGCTTTAAACTTCTCCACAACAGTATCTCGGACCTGCCTGGTGTGTTCCTTTGTCTTCATGGTTCTCTCTGCGCTTTAAACAGAACCCTGAGACTATCAAAGAGCAGGTGCATTTATACGGAGACTTGATTACACACAGGTGCATTCTATTTATCATCATCAGTCATTTAGGACAACATTGGATCATTCAAAGATCCTCACTGAACTTCTGGACTGAGTTTGCTGCACTGAAAGTAAAGGGGCCCAATAATATTGCACGCCCCACTTTTCAGTTTTTTATTTGTTAAAAAAGTTTAAATTATCCAATAAATTTTGTTCCACTTCACAATTGTGTCCCACTTGTTGTTGATTCATGACAAAAAATTAAAATTTTATATCTTCATGTTTGAAGCCTGAAATGTGGCGAAATGTTGAAAGGTTAAAGGGGGCCGAATACTTTCGCAAAGCACTGTATGTTCACCTGTCCAGGGACTGCAGGTGGAAAATAACCTACTTGGCTAATTCTGTTGCATTTACAGAAATGTTTATTAATGCACAAAGTCCCTGTCAACTAAACTTATAAAATAGAGAGAGAGAAAACACATCATCCACACAAACATGAATAAAAACATGATTCTAAAAGTGTTAAACTCAGATCTGTGATGTCGTCTTATGGCCGAAGGAACAAAGACTTAATGATGGACAAAAGCTGCTTCGTTGCTGTTTACTAAATAGTATTGTTTTCATCCCAAAAAAGGAAGGTTTGGTGTTTACTAGAAAAACAAACAGTACCTGAGATCTTACTGTTCTGGCTGGCGTAGCTGGAGTTTCTGGAGTGACCCGACTGGAAGATCTCAGTCTGACTCTGGCTGTACTCTTCCAAAAGACCTAAAAACCATATCATTATCATCACCTTCATGTGTGACTTCCATAAACTACACACCGCTTCACTGACCGGAGCTGATGATGGAGGGGCGGGGCTTGGAGCTGCGTCCCAGAGACACGCCTCCGGGCGGGGGTTCTGAGGTCCCTTCTCCTTTACAGTCCATCTGCAGAGCGGGTTCACGACCAGAGACACTGATGCTTTTGGCTGAACTGGGAGCTCTGCAACAAACACATGAATCACATGAAACAATGTCATCGATGACATCACAGCAGAACAAAAGGAGACATCAAACACGATCCAATACATTTCTATAATAAGAATACATTTTATTTATAAGGCGCCTCTGTCTGACAGCAGCAGGAAGGAAAGATCCGCAGAACCTGTCCTTCACACAGAGGGTGAATCAGTCTGTCGCTGCAGCTGCTCTCCAGAGCCGAGAGAGTGTCCTGCAGGGGGCGACGTAAAAGACGAGACACGTCTGAGCAGTGGCGGCAGTGGCTCAGTTGGTAGAGCCTCTTTCAGCACCTTTCGCTGTTCATGGGTAGTTTCAAAATGGGAAAATGGGAAAAAACACATTTGCTCCATTTATTTGTCAAGTGACTTCAAAAGTCCACAGCGACAAAACTAGACTGGTCCAAAACAGTCTCAACATCGACACATGTGGAACGGAGCTTTGGACCAAGAGCCACTTTTGGACCAAGAGCCACTTTTGGACCAAGAACCACTTTTGGACCAAGAACCAATTTTGGACCAAGAGCCACTTTTGGACCAAGAGCCACTTTTGGACCAAGAGCCACTTTTGGACCAAGAGCCACTTTTGGACCAAGAGCCACTTTTGGACCAAGAGCCACTTTTGGACCAAGACCCACTTTTGGACCAAGAGCCACTTTTGGACCAAGAACCCCTTTTGGATTAAGAGCCACTTTTGGACCATCCTGTAAAGAATATACATTAGCATTGAATCATTCTTATTCCGGGTGCACCCCCACAGGCCCGGGGTGGTATTGCAGCATGTCAGCGCACGTCATTTTGGACATTTTTGAGCCGGGACCCTCCCACACTGGTTCGAGCCCACCACAAGACTCCCACTGATGTCTGCTGCCGTTGTGTCCTTGGGCAAGATACTTAACCCCACTTTGCCTGAAGCCCCCACTGAAAGCTCCTGTGGACTCAGCACCTGCAGGAGGAGCAGTGAGGACCAGGAGGAGCAGTGAGGACCAGGAGGAGCAGTGAGGACCAAGTTCACATCTCACTCATGAACTACAGCAGGAGAAACAATCAGACTCCAAGCAGCCACACAGCCTCACGGGGGAATGGCACCTCTGACCCTGTTGCTGTGAGGAGTGAGACCTCTGACCCTGTTGCTGTGAGGAGTGAGACCTCTGACCCTGTTGCTGTGAGGTGTGAGACCTCTGACCCTGTTGCTGTGAGGAGTGAGACCTCTGACCCTGTTGCTGTGAGGAGTGCTCTGCAGGATCCTGATCTAGTGGGAGTCGGAGCGTTCTCTCGGCTCTGAGGAGACGCTGAGTCACTGATTCCTGAAGTATTTGGTTCTAAAACGTTCTCACCATCGTCCTCAAGAACTGTCAAACATTCTCAGATGGGTCAGGGTTAGTCCAACAGGAGGAAACACTCAGTTTGTCAAAGCAGAATATTAACGTTTCACTTACGTTTTAAAACAAGGGTCCCCAGAAAGTAGTGTCATCCCGATGTTCACCTGAAACAGAAGCAACATGTGAGACATTATTTTATGAACCAAACCAGACGGAGCCGTTAGAAAGTGCTGCAGCAAAGACCTAAACATGTGGATGACTCTAAACTTTCTACTCCTTAACCTGGAGAACTGCCTCTGATCCGATAACCACACTCGATAGTGTTAGCATAGCACCTAGCTATGTTAGCCTAGCACCTAGCTATGTTAGCGTAGCCCCTCGCTATGTTAGCGTAGCACCTAGCAACACTGGAGGAATCTCGTTCAAGGCAAATGTAAAGTAACTAAAACGGCATATTTCCACTTTAGCAACATGAGCTAAAATCATAAATGAGTGACGCTAAAAAACTGATCCACACATTTGTCTCCTCAAGGCCTGACTGTAGCGCCCCCTGCTGGCAGCGTGCCCTTAAACCTCTTTGAAGAGCTTCCAGCTCGTTCAGAATACAGCAGCAAGGATCTTAACAGGCACCAAAAGGAGGGAGCACATAACTCTGGTGTTAAAATCACTCCACTGGCCCCATATACACACACATATTTAAATCTGGCCTTGAGGGTGGGGGTCTGGCCTGGTGGGTGGGGGTCTGAGGTTGAGGGTGGGGGCTCTGGCCTGGTGGGTGGGGGTCTGGCCTGGAGGGTGGGGGTCTGGCCTGGTGGGTGGGGGTCTGGCCTGGAGGGTGGGGTCTGACCTTGAGGATGGAGTTGTCCTGGCGAGTGTTCTTGGTGTCGTAGCCCTCGAGTAAACAACAGCGAACTGTGGATCCGGAGCCGGCGAACTCTGCCATGTTCAGATCTGCAAACCCCAGCTGCAGAAACATGGACCTTCATCATCATCATCATCACATGTATGTATGTGTGTATGTACAGTGCCTTGCGAAAGTATTCGGCCCCCTTGAACCTTTCAACATTTCGCCACATTTCAGACTTCAAACATAAAGATTAGGGCTGTCAAAATGATCGCGTTAACTCACGTTTTTCATTAACGCGTAAAAAAAATTTTTTACGCATTAACGCACGTCCGAATGACCCGCCCATTTATCCATAATATCACTCAGAATGCTGCGTGTGAGATGCATCAGAGCAGGCCCTCTGGGGATTCATGTTTTAAAAGAATACGCGCGTCACCGCGGGGCTGTTGTTTGCTGTGAACTGAGGCCCGCCTCCTCCGCGGCCGCTCTGACTGTGAGCCGCTCACAACAACACGGCTGTGAGCGGCTGTGAGTGAGTGGCGCCGCGGTAACATGGTCATAAGACCAAACACACCACAGAACTATTGTCTGCATGTTGTGTTCGTGTCTTTGCAACCTGTGCGTAACCTGTGCGTAACCTGTGCGTAACCTGTGCGCGCAAATACAGCGCAGGAGTGTCCCTGTCTCCTCCTGAAACTAAACTAAACTGAAACGCTGAATTAAAGCTGGGGTATGTAAATTTCCCCCTTTCATTAACAGCTCATGTTGGTTTTGCCCAAAAGCAAACAGATTTAAGTACATTTGGTATGAATGACAATGTGTCATTATATTTGATAATCTCATTTAACTTCAATTGGAGTGGATTTGAAATAGAATGTTAAAAATGCGATTAATCGTGAGTTAACTCACCATTTCTGTGCGATTAATCAACTAAAAAATTTTAATCGTTTGACAGCCCTAATAAAGATATAAAATTTTAATTTTTTGTCATGAATCAACAACAAGTGGGACACAATCGTAAAATGGAACGAAATGTATTGGATAATTTAGACTTTTTTAAGTATACATTTTTTGGCCACAATGCAAAACGATATGTTTGGCGTAAAAGCAACACAGCTCATCACCCTGAACACACCATCCCCACTGTCAAACATGGTGGTGGCAGCATCATGCTTTGGGCCTGCTTTTCTTCAGTAGGGACAGGGAAGATGGCTAAAATTGATGGGAAGATGGATGGAGCCAAATACAGGACCATTCTGGAAGAAAACCTGTTGGAGTCTGCAAAAGACCTGAGACTGGGACGGAGATGTATCTTCCAACAGGACAATGATCCAAAACATAAAGCCAAATCTACAATGGAATGGTTCACAAATAGACGTATCCAGGTGTTAGAATGGCCAAGTCAAAGTCCAGACCTGAATCCAATCGAGAATCTGTGGAAAGAGCTGAAGACTGCTGTTCACAAACGCTCTCCATCCAACCTCACTGAGCTCCAGCTGTTTTGCAAGGAAGAATGGGCAAGAATTCCAGTCTCTCGATGTGCAAAACTGATAGAGACATACCCCAAGCGACTTGCAGCTGTAATTGCAGCAAAAGGTGGCGCTACAAAGTATTAGCGCAAGGGGCCGAATAATATTGCACGCCCCACTTTTCAGTTTTTTATTTGTTAAAAAAGTTTAAATTATCCAATAAATTTTGTTCCTCTTTATCTTATCTTTATCCTCTTCACGATTGTGTCCCACTTGTTGTATGTGTGCAATATAAATTAATCTTTTGAAATGGCTGCAATTTCCTAAACAATAAAACATTTATAGAACAGTGTGGATATCCTAAAGTTATCCCTGTGGAAGTGTGTGTGTGTGTGTGTGTGTGTGTGTGTGTCTGTGTGTGTGTGTGTGCGTGTGTGCCTGTGTGTCTGTCTGTGTGTGTGTGTGCCTGTGTGTGTGTGTGTGTGTGTGCGTGTGTGCCTGTGTGTGTGTGTGTCTGTCTGTGTGTGTGTGCCTGTGTGTGTGCCTGTGTGTGTGTGTCTGTGTGTGTGTGTGTCTGTGTGTGTGTGTCTGTCTGTCTGTCTGTGTGTGTGTGTGTGTGTGTGTCTGTGTGTGTGTGTGCCTGTGTGTGTGTGTCAGGAGCACACCTTTGTACTGTGTGTTGTTTTAAATGAACAGTTTCCATTTCTCCAGTGTTTTTTTAGGTGAGTCTCAGGAAACGTGGGTTAAATTTGGACGAAGAGGAAACAGAGGAAACAGATCCGGGAGCGGGAAAGTGGCCGTTAGCGACGCCGTTAGCAAAGACGTTAGCGACGCCGTTAGCGACGCCGTTAGCGACGCGCAAGGATGTTTTTAGCTCTAAACGATTGTGCTCAGGAGGAAACGTTCAGGTCGCTCTACACTCATTAAGGATCTGGAAATAGAACCACAACTGATGTGACTTTATGACTCAAACTGGGATCACAGGGACCATGTGACTTTATGACTCAAACTGGGATCACAGGGACCATGTGACTTTATGACTCAAACTGGGATCACAGGGACCATGTGACTTTATGACTCAAACTGGGATCACAGGGACCATGTGACTTTATGACTCAAACTGGGATCATAGGGACCATGTGACTTTATGACTCAAACTGGGATCACAGGGACCATGTGACTTTATGACTCAAACTGGGATCATAGGGACCATGTGACTTTGAATAAACTGGGATCACAAGGACCATGTGACTTTGAATAAACTGGGATCACAGGCACCATGAAACTTTATGACTCAAACTGGGATCACAGGGACCATGTGACTTTATGACTCAAACTGGGATCATAGGGACCATGTGACTTTATGACTCAAACTGGGATCATAGGGACCATGCGACTTTATGACTAAACTGGGATCACAGGGACCATGTGACATAACGGGGACCATGCGACATCACGGGGTCCATGCGACATCACAGGGACCATGTGACATCACAGGGACCATGCGACATCACGGGGACCATGCGACATCACGGGGACCATGCGACATCACGGGGACCATGCGACATCACAGGGACCATGTGACATCACCGGGACCATGCGACATCACGGGGACCATGTGACATCACAGGGACCATGCGACATCACGGGGACCATGCGACATGACAGGGACCATGCGACATCACAGGGACCATGTGACATCACAGGGACCATGCGACATCACGGGGACCATGCGACATGACAGGGACCATGCGACATCACAGGGACCATGTGACATCACAGGGACCATGCAACATCACGGGGACCATGCGACATCACAGGGACCATGTGACATCAAGGGGACCATGTGACATCACAGGGACCATGTGACATCAAGGGGACCATGTGACATCACAGGGACCATGTGACATCGCTTCCGACTATCCAATTGTCTGTGAAACTGTATGTTACTGCTCTCTGCTGTTTCTTGCTGCACACAGCGCCGCAAATGGCGAAGTGGCACGCTCTCTGCCAAAACAATTACCAAGTGGTAACTTTTGTTTGTTACTTACGTGGCAATAAAAAGGATTATGATTATGATTATGACCATGCGACATCACAGGGACCATGCGACATCACGGGGACCATGCGACATCACAGGGACCATGTGACATCACAGGGACCATGTGAAATCACAGGGACCATGCGACATCACAGGGACCATGCGACATCACAGGGACCATGCGACATCACAGGGACCATGTGAAATCACAGGGACCATGTGACATCACAGGGACCATGAGAACCTGATGAGAAGAACCGACTGAAAGAACCTGATGTTGTTTAAAAGCTGCAAACGCACATTTACCTGTGTTTAGTTTAAACACAGATTTACAAAGAGCTTCTTTTGGTCCAAGACGTGAGACTGAAACATGGACGACTAAACCACATTTCAGATGCAGATGAACGGCCGCGGCGCCAGGATCCATCTTGAGCAGATTGTTATCAGGAAATAATAATATTTATAAAGCCAGAGACGTTTGGCTCCAGCTCATTTATCAAACACAACATCCTAAAGCTTTTACTAAAGATCCTCGTGAGCAAAGGTCTGAAAACACACTACTGCAGAAAGATCACAGCCTTAAAGAAGCAATATGTACGATTATCATGTCCAGTCATCTTTAAAGGGCCCTAATCTGTCACCATTAAAGGGCCCTAATCTGTCATCGGGCCCTAATCTGTCATCATTAAAGGGCCCTAATCTGTCATCATTAAAGGGCCCTAATCTGCCCTCATTAAAGGCCCTAATCTGTCATCATTAAAGGGCCCTAATCTGTCATCATTAAAGGGCCCTAATCTGTCATCATTAAAGGGCCCTAATCTGCCCTCATTAAAGGGCCCTAATCTGTCATCGGGCCCTAATCTGTCATTATTAAAGGGCCCTAATCTGTCATCATTAAAGGGCCCTTATCCGTCATCATTAAAGGGCCCTAATCTGTCATTATTAAAGGGCCCTAATCTGTCATCATTAAAGGGCCCTAATCTGTCATCATTAAAGGGCCCTAATCTGCCCTCATTAAAGGGCCCTAATCTGTCATAATAATAAACTGCTCTTTTCCAATACTTCTTAAACTGATAACAGTAGTTCAGAAATATTTGAATTTCTAAATTACTAATCTCACTGGTAAAGTACCATGTGGCGCAGAACTACAAAAGGTCTCGTTATGATTCTCAAATCATTAACGACAAAACAAGGAATAAAACCAGGATTTCTATCTTTGTGAAAAAGGTGTTGGTTATAGATTTGTTCTCTTCTCGGTTCCTGATGGTCCCTGATGGTTCTGATAGTTCCTAATGGTCCTCATGGTTCCTGATGGTTCCTAAAGCGTGTCATGAGCTCTGGTTTTGAGCAGACTTACCTTGGAGTAGGCCTTGCCGCCCTTCAGTTCCTGTGGGAAAAACAGGAAGAGGTTTTGAAGCACTGAATTATTATGGTTCTATTAAAGAGCGACTAAACACCAAATCAACTTTTTTTAACTCATAAACTGCATAAATATGTTTATTGTAGTGCTGTCTACATATCCTGGTCATTTTTTTGACATTTTAGTTCAAATTAGATAAAATATCACTTTAGAGCCAAAAAAACGTCTGTGTGGCGCCCTCTCAACCTTTTTGGTGGTACTACATTTGAATTTGGTCCTGGCCTCTCCATTGACTCTGAAGTTCTCTATGACGTCAGTTTGTCAGAGCCAGTGATATGAACCCATTCAACTCTCACACACGCCCCAGCTGCAGTTTGGAGTATTCTGGCGCCATCTAGTGGATTAAAATTAAATTACATGAGTCATTCTGAGATTATTGAGTGTGATTAGGTTCAGGTGTGTAGCTTTACAATTATCTAAGTGTGTAAACAAGGGTGGAATGAGACTTTCTGGTCTGTAAACTATTGCTTTAAGCAGCAATGACAACAGACCACGCCCAACTCTAAGCCCCCCTTCTTGTCCCTTAGTCCTCCAGGCAACGCCCTTTTTAGAGAAAATTTTCAAATCTTCATGTGGGCGGAGTAAGGCTGGGCACAGGTGTTTAGTCGCTATTTAAAGTTCTGGAAATGACAGAGCACAGGGTTCAGTGTGACATCAGCGACAGAAGAGTCCACTTCAGAACCTCAAGAGTCCAGTTTAAACATAAGAGTCCAGTTTAAAAAGAGCTGGTTTCTTGTGTTTCATTAAACTGGCCTGTAGGGGGCGCATGAGCAGAGACAGTTTTGCTCCCATTGAAAACCATGTAAAATCTTTTTTGGAGCCAAAGGCTCTCCTCCTGTGCGGTGTGCGGTTGTTGGAACAGTCTTGATCGGGGAAACTCAATTCTAAGGAAGTACTAACAAATATTTCTCAAAAGAGTCTTGATTTCGGGCATTTTTGGAAAGAAAAACAGAAGAAATAGCTGCGTTTCATTGGGGTGGCCTGCAGGGGGCGCTTATCTGGGAAAGCCTTGATCCACCTCGCCCGCCTCATTCCAGTGATTTTTTCAAAGTGTCCTCCTTTATATGAGACCACAGTTGGAACATGAACAAACTCTGGTCTTTCTCTCTTTTTGTGCGGTTGCTACAAACGTACACCGCACGAAAAGATGGCATTTTGACAGCGCTTCTTCTTCTACTATATTTCCGTCTATAAACCACTTCTTCTTCTACTATATCTCCGTGTATAAACCACTTCTTCTTCTACTATATCTCTGTGTATAAACCGCTTCTTCTTCTACTATATCTCTGTGTTTAAACCGCTTCTTCTTCTACTATATCTCTGTGTATAAACCGCTTCTTCTTCTACTATATCTCTGTGAATAAACCGCTTCTTCTTCTACTATATCTCTGTGTATAAACCGCTTCTTCTTCTACTATATCTCCGTGTATAAACCGCTTCTTCTTCTACTATATCTCTGTGTATAAACCACTTCTTCTTCTACTATATCTCCGTGTATAAACCACTTCTTCTTCTACTATATCTCTGTGTATAAACCGCTTCTTCTTCTACTATATCTCCGTGTATAAACCACTTCTTCTTCTACTATATCTCTGTGTATAAACCGCTTCTTCTTCTACTATATCTCTGTGTATAAACCGCTTCTTCTTCTACTATATCTCTGTGTATAAACCGCTTCTTCTTCTACTATATCTCCGTGTATAAACCGCTTCTTCTTCTACTATATCTCCGTGTATAAACCACTTCTTCTTCTACTATATCTCCGTGTATATACCACTTCTTCTTCTACTATATCTCCGTGTATAAACCGCTTCTTCTTCTACTATATCTCCGTGTATAAACCCTGCAGACTGCACCTCCAGGATACGTCACGTCCTGTCCTACGTTTGTTATTCACCACTGCCCTGACGTCGTATGAAACCCAAGGATAGAAGTGATTTACTATTAATATAATCTTAAGTTCTTTGCATTTCCTTGTATTTGGTGTTGGGTACCTTCCGAACGGAGACCCTGCAGACGGCCGGGTCCAGGACTCCAGTTTGGGGGTTGGCGCTCATCTTAGAGATGAAGGTGAACCTCTTCCTCCAGCGCACACAGTGGTCGTGCACCTCCTCCCTGCAACACACACCAGCAACTTCTTTACAAACGTGTGAATGACTGAAGTTTTGTAAATAAACTTAATGGTCAAAACCCGTTAATACAGATCAGTTTAGTTTGAGTCGTTCATTGCCCCGGCTTCCAGAGGGCGGTGGCTGAGTGGTTAGCGTCTTGCTATAAAGTCACATGTTTGAGTCCGGTCCTGATGGAGGCACAGAGGAACTTCAATCATGTCATTTACACTTCAAAAACAAATGTGAAGCTAACATTATGGTCCCCCTCTGTTCTCTCTCTGGTCTCTCTCTGGTCTCTCTCTCTGGTCTCTCTCTCTGGTCTCTCTCTGGTCTCTCTCTCTGGTCTCTCTCTGGTCTCTCTCTGGTCTCTCTCTGGTCTCTCTCTGGTCTCTCTTTAGTCTCTCTCTGGTCTCTCTCTGGTCTCTCTCTGGTCTCTCTCTGATCTCTCTCTCTGGTCTCTCTCTCTGGTCTCTCTCTCTGGTCTCTCTCTGGTCTCTCTCTGGTCTCTCTCTGATCTCTCTCTCTGGTCTCTCTCTCTGGTCTCTCTCTCTGGTCTCTCTCTCTGGTCTCTCTCTGGTCTCTCTCTCTGGTCTCTCTCTGGTCTCTCTCTCTGGTCTCTCTCTCTGGTCTCTCTCTCTGGTCTCTCTCTGGTCTCCCTCTGGTCTCTCTCTCTCTGGTCTCTCTCTCTGGTCTCTCTCTCTGGTCTCTCTCTCTGGTCTCTCTCTCTGGTCTCTCTCTGGTCTCTCTTTAGTCTCTCTCTGGTCAAGGTCAAGGTCAAGGTCAAATTTATTTATAAAGCACATTTACAAAACAGCCATCACTGCCCCAAAGTGCTGTACACAGTACAATAATACAACACTACAAAAACACAACAATATAACACGATAAGAAAGTAAAAATGTAAACTGTAAAAATATAAAAAGAAAAATGCTCAGCTCATCTTGTGTTAAAAGCCTGCGTAAAAAGGTAAGTCTTTACCAGAGTTTTGAAGCTCTCAACTGATGTAGCCTGTCTAATGTTCACAGGGAGGGAGTTCCACAGTTTAGGGCCTGCCACTGCAAAAGCTCTATCTCCTTTAAGCCTAGCGTACATCGACAGAGAAACTGGGGACAACTAGTTGCAAGGCGGCTTTTGGCAACTGAGAGTAGATGATGGAGATGATCAGTTGCCGAATTCGGTCGATGTGAGCGCTCTCACAACTGGAGATGAACAGTCGGTCTCCAGTTTCAGTCAGTTGCCCGTGTTCTACTTTTCGGCAATTAGTTGTCCTCAGTTTCGGAGATATGACCCAATGTGCGCGCTCCATGCGCCGCTCCGACAACATGTGTGTATTGCGTGTATTGCGCCCTCTACAGTTTATGTCAGAAAACACACTGTAGTTGAGGCCAGTTGCTGTCGATGTACGCGCTGTTATTCCCGAGACTGGTCTGCTACTGGGAGTTGCCCGTTTTCGCCAGATTGTCGATGTGTGCGGGGCAGCAACTCATATGCGACGGATATAATCAGTTGCCAGTCCGATGTACGCTAGGCTTTAGTTTTTAAATGAGATCCTGGACGATCCAGCAAACTTTGGCCCGAGGATCGCAGAGCTCTGACAGGAGCGTGCAAAGACAACAAATCAGATAAATAAGGCGGTGCCAGTCCGCGGATAGATTTAAAAACAAGTAATAGAATTTTAAAGTCTATTCTAAAAGCAACAGGTAACCAGTGAAGAGACGACAGAACAGGAGTAATATGTTCATGCCGTTTGGTTCCTGTGAGCAGGCGTGCAGCCGCGTTTTGGACCATTTGGAGTCTGCGAATTGATGACTGCTTTAGACCAATTACAATAATCCAAACGAGTTGTGATCAATGCATGGACAACCTGTTCAAATTGGTTTAAAGGTAAGTAGCGCTTCACCTTACTTAGAAGCCTAAGTTGGAAAAAACTAGTTTTGACTACTGCATTGATCTGTTTTTCAAACTGGAATGAACTGTCAATATGAAATCCAAGACTTTTAGCGGATAAACAGCAGTGGGACGCAAGTGGACCAAGAGCACTGCTGGTAAGGTTAGCCTCACCAAAAAACACGATTTCAGTCTTTTTCTCATTCAAATTGAGAAAATTCAGTGACATCCAGTCTTTGACCTCTTTAAGACATGTCAATAAGGCGGCAGATGAGTTAGATTTGAGGTCCAAAGGCAAATAGATCTGTACATCATCTGCAAAGCAATGAAACTGAATGTTGTATTTCCTAAAAATTGAGCCCAATGGCAGCATGTACAATGAAAATAGAATTGGCCCTAAAATTGAGCCTTGGGGTACCCCGCAGGTTAGGGGGGCTTTCTGCGAGGTAAAAGAACCAAGGTTTACAGAAAAACACCTATCATTCAGATATGACTTAAACCACTTAAGCACTGTGCCACTCATCCCAACACATGATTCAAGACGGGATATTAAAATATTATGGTCAACAGTGTCAAAGGCTGCCGTTAGATCTAAAAGTACAAGGACTGCTGGTCTCTCTCTGGTCTCTCTCTCTGGTCTCTCTTTAGTCTCTCTCTGGTCTCTCTCTGGTCTCTCTCTGGTCTCTCTCTGGTCTCTCTCTGGTCTCTCTTTAGTCTCTCTCTGGTCTCTCTCTGGTCTCTCTCTGGTCTCTCTCTGGTCTCTCTCTGGTCTCTCTCTCTGGTCTCTCTCTCTGGTCTCTCTCTCTGGTCTCTCTCTCTGGTCTCTCTTGGTCTCTCTCTCTGGTCTCTCTCTCTGGTCTCTCTCTGGTCTCTCTGGTCTCTCTCTCTGGTCTCTCTCTCTGGTCTCTCTCTGGTCTCTGTCTGGTCTCTCTCTGGTCTCTCTCTCTGGTCCCTCTCTCTATTACACGGGTGGCCAAACCTTTTGCTTCCAAGGGCCAAAGTAAAAATTTGCCAGGCCGGGCCAAATACACCGATATTATGCGTTACCATTAACGCACACTGACACAGGCAACAAAATGAATGAATGAAGGCATGCGGCTGCGTGTTGCTATGGCAACAGCTACGTGCTCAAAAGCGAAAGTACTTCATAATGCAAAACAGAAACCTAACACTAGGGGCGCACTTTTCTGCTTGCCTTTCTTATACTTTCCTACAAGCGAAAAGGCTCATGGGGGATCCTCTCAAATTGATAAAACATAAAGGTGCCTTGCACTCAATTGTTTTGAGAGGTGTGTTTGATTTAAAAAACATTTTAGTGCAAGTTGATGTGAACCATGAGTGAGGCGTGCATCTTGATACAAGACTAAAGTACTGGACAGCATTTTAGAGTGTATAGGCCCGCGCAACATCAGACATATATCTATGTGTCTAGCGAGTCTGAGGGAGATAGAAACTTGCTGCAGGGGTGGACAATGTTAGACGGGCCACCTGAAGTGGTCTGGCGGGCCAAGTTTGGCCTGCGGGCCCCACTTTGGGCACCCCTGCTCTATATAATGTATAATCACATGCTGAGAACCAGAGACAAACTGAAATAGACCAAACTTAGCTTGGCTCCGTGGGAAGCACTGGGCCATAATTACGCTCAGTGTAAATTTGGGTCTGTAGTTTAACTGCAGCTGAAAAACGTCACGGAAACGACTTTGAACTGCACCTCCTTCAATCTGCGCTTGTCCTTTACATTTCACAGACAGACTTTCCCACGGGACTCGCCATTAATATAGGATCCAGGACAAACTATAGGATCCAGGACAAACTATAGGATCCAGGACAAACTTCATCATTTCCATGAGCGAGTTTAAGCGTCCAAGATTATTCTGTCCAAAATTATGATAGAGAGAGATGAGAGAACAGGGAAGCATCGCACCCTCAGCTCAGACGTCCCAAATCTTATTTATTCATGCCTTCATCAAATCATGTTTTTCCTTTTCTTTTGACCTCAAAATACAAAGTGGTTGCCTGCCAGATGCTCAAATGCCTCCTTCGTCAGATCAAAAACATGATGAAGGCCTAAAGCCCAAACGTCATTCATGATTTGGGACGTCTGAGGGAACTTCAATGAGTGAAAGACCAGAGAGAGAGACCAGAGAGAGACCAGAGAAAGACCAGAGAGAGACCAGAGAGAGAGAGACTCAAGAGAGACCAGAGAGAGACCAGAGAAAGACCAGAGAGAGACCAGAGAGAGACCAGAGAAAGACCAGAGAGAGACCAGAGAGACCAGAGAGAGAGAGACTCAAGAGAGACCAGAGAGAGACCAGAGAAAGACCAGAGAGAGACCAGAGAGAGACCAGAGAGAGACCAGAGAGAGACCAGAGAGAGACCAGAGAAAGACCAGAGAGAGACCAGAGAGACCAGAGAGAGAGACTCAAGAGAGACCAGAGAGAGACCAGAGAAAGACCAGAGAGAGACCAGAGAGAGAGAGACCCAAGAGTCTGGACTTTGAGGACTGAGAGGACTGGGACTGGGACTGGGAGGCGGACTCTGTATCCAGGGTCAGGCCTCTCTTTGTGGGTCAGGAGAGAGGCCTGTTGCCAAGAGCCTGAACAAACCAGAGAGGACTCAGGAATGTGGACCAGAGCAGCAGCTGATAAAGGCCCTGACCAGCAACACATGGACCAGCTACACATGGAAAAGCAACACATGGACCAGCAACACATGGACCAGCCACACATGGACCAGCTACACATGGAAAAGCAACACATGGACCAGCAACACATGGACCAGCCACACATGGACCAGCCACACATGGACCAGCTACACATGGAAAAGCAACACATGGACCAGCAACACAAGGACCAGCCACACATGGACCAGCTACACATGGAAAAGCAACACATGGACCAGCCACACATGGACCAGCCACACATGGACCAGCCACACATGGACCAGCCACACATGGACCAGCTACACATGGAAAAGCAACACATGGACCAGCAACACAAGGACCAGCAACACATGGACCAGCTACACATGGACCAGCAACGCATGGACCAGCAACACATGGACCAGCAACGCATGGACCAGCCTCTCACTCTCTCATGTGTATGTGTGTGTGTGTGT